AACAATTCAGATTATCAATGTGAGTTTTATAGTGGGCCCACATAGCCCAACAACACGCTTAATTCGATCAGGCTAGAGAAAAGTTATTCCCTATTCTATATTCCTTTTGTGCACAAGTTATAAATTGATTTATTTTTTTTTTTAGTAATTTAAAAGGTTATTTCAACAAATTTTTCACTCTCTATAATTTAAAATTTTCAAAATTATTTTTTTATTTTTTTATTTTAGATCGGCTTAATATATATACACTTAAAAAATATATAATTTGTACAAAAAAAAATTAAAAATCATTGAATATAACAAAATACTAAAATGTATTAAATTTTTATATTATTTTGTATGCAATAAATTTCTCACTGGATTACGTAAAAGGAAAAGAATAATAGTGTTTTCTTTTTTTTTTTAAGATAATAGGAATAATAGTATTATACTCAAAAAAATTAAACACATAAAAGTGTTGGATGCAATTTATTTTAAGTCTAACTCAGATCACACTCAAAATGAATTTTAACTACCCAAGACAATTTCTTTATATGTTTTATATTCTATTTTTTTGCACTTAACATTATCAAAAATAATAATAATAATAAATAAAGACTAACTTCATTTCTAAAGAATTAGAGATCCATAAATAATCACCAAATTCATTTGGAAATAGGCTATTTTAGTTGACTATTTGATTTTTTAGGAAAAGATATGTAAAAAAGAATAAAAAAAATAGAGAAAGTAATGTGATAGGATGTTTTGTTTTAGGGAAAATTACCAACACCCCCCTCGTGATTTGACTAAAATACAGATTTTTTCCTGAGATTTGAGAAATTACATCTCGCCCCCTGAGGCTTATATTTGCATAACAAATTACCTCCTCTGGTTTATATTTGCATAACAAATTGTCCCCTTATTTGTTATGCAAATATAAACCTCATGGGGCAATTTGTAATTTCTCAAACCTGAAGAGGGGTGTTGGTAATTTGGCCTTCGTTTTATTAACTATTTTAGTTTTCAATGGACAACCCATCCCCAAACAAACCCATATTTTAACTTATTTTTTCCTTAGAGTGATTATGCCGGCAAAATAAACTTCAATTACAACCTTGTAAACTACTCACAAAATCACTATATAAAACAAAAACTCACATTAATACATTAATATAAGATTATCTGAGAAAACAATCTAAATAAGGACCCATATTTCGTTTATAAATCAATTCATATGCCACATGCAACTCATGGACACCCCACCTCCACCTATTACATATATATATATATATATATATATACATGTCTGTGTGTGTGTGTGTGTGTGTGTGTGTGTGTGTGAACAATCAGAGACTTTTGGTAATCTTTAGCCCTGGTTTGGCATTCATGTTGGGGCTAAAAAATTGCAAAAATTGAAAAATGAAAATTGACTGCAAAAGTTAATAAGACAAAATAGTACTTATTACCTATAATTACTACACTTTTTCTCTCACAAAACTCAAAAAAATCCAAAAACAAAAACTAAACAACGCTAAAAAATGTAAGCTAAAAAAGTCCCAATATAAAAAAAATTAGCTATATTAGTCAATGCCAAACGAAACTTTATTTACGTAGAAGACAATAGAACCATAAGCATAGACTTATATCACTACTGATACAGATTTGGGTGCCCTGCCCTCTTGAACTAAAACCTGCTCTTCCCACATAATTCAAACTTGTAAATAAATTGTTCGCTTATTTTTCCTACGAAGGAAAATACCATAAATGCAAGCGAGTCAGCAAGGATTCAAAAATCCTTACAGATTAAATTCAAGCCAATTATCAAGCGATTGTGTTGACGGTTCTTTTGCCTCAACAAAGAGGACTTCAAAATTTCCAAGTGTAGAGAAAAGAAAAATTAAAAGAAGAATGAGGGAGACCGAGAAAGACGATTGAGTGAACAATCAAAGTAATAATTACTTACCTCTACTCATATGCTTCGAAAAGGAAGTGCATAAAATGTTTTCAAAATGAAATGTTGAAAATAAATGCTTCGAAATATAAATCTATGTTAAACTACTTCTAAGATAAGGAAAATTACAAGAAGTATTGAAATCAATTGTCTTTGATTTGAATTCTGGATCTTTTGCAATGTAGCCATGAATGGCTATTTATAGGCAAACATTTGTAGAAAAAAAACTACATAAACTACCTACTCTTTCACTTCCTCCATTTCATACTCCATGATCTTCCATAACTTCCTTCAACCTCCACTTCATACTCTTTGTTCTCCACTTTGTTCTCCATCATCTTTCCACATTTCATAACTTCTCGAAACCTGCAAATAAGTAGGAGGATGTCACATGTCCTACAATTATATAAATAATAAATTTAATAATAATAAAATTACAGATTTATGGTGCTAACATTACCCTCCGCGGCACTTAAAAATGATGTTTACTTGAATTTTTGAAGGGCCGAACCAAGCACATGACTAATCTAAGCAACAAAGTGCTTCGAATAATATCAACAAAGTGCTTCGAATGATAGCACCAATAAAGTGCTTCGAATGAGCATGAAATTATGACTAGATGTCTCGAATTATATATATGCCTTACATATGTGCTTCGAATCGGCATCAATCCTTTGAAGGAAATTAAACAATTTTGTGTTACTCGTACGTCAAGCACTTAGAAAACTTGGAACCTTTTGAAGTAAGTTGAGGTTGTTTGCACTAAAATCATTCAAAATCTCATATTTTTAAGGTAAAGCCAATAATTCACCTTAACAAGCTGTTACACGTACTAAATAACAAGCTTCGAATGTGGTATAAAGAACCAAAATCACCCTTTCATGGTCTAAGTGTTTATAAATGACCAAATTCATCATTCAAAGGTCTTGCAGAAAAGTTTCGAAGGATAACCTCATATTTCCCAGGCAAAACCAATGATTCACCTTAACAAGCTGTTGCACATGCTAAATAACTAGCTTCGAATGTGGTATAGAGGACCAAAATCATCCTTCAAAGGTCGAAGGTGCCGACAAAGGATGAATTACATCCTTTGAAATGCTCAGCAAAGCTTTGAAGGTTCACAATTGCCAATATTTTTTCTTCGAAGCTGTTGTTGATGCAAGATGGAGTGCTTCGAAACTTACAAAATTATGGCAAAAGGGCTTTTGAAGCATCTTTTGACCAACATTGTGGTTATTCAAATTTTGTATGTTTTGGTTTACACATAATTAATGAAAATATTAATTTTATGCTTCGAACCAATTATTAATTCTCCAAAGACACCAAAACCATTGTTCCTCAAACCAACTTTTGTAGAATACTAGTTACATTTTCATGTAAGAAATGGCTATAAAAATGTTTATCAATAAAACCACTAATTATCATGCCAAAAATAGGCATTATTTGACAATTAATTAATTGTCATTTTACATATATTTGAAGGGATGTACTCATTTTGAAAGCTTTCTCATCCCATGTTACATTTCGAAGGTGTTCATTAATGACAAAATCACCCTTCGAAAGTCACATATGTTACTAAAGGATCAAAGTCATCCTTCGAAAGTGCTCACGACATCTCTTCAAACCAAATCCAAAGAGTTGGATTACTATGAAATTAGTTTGGCATTTTAATTAGCCATTAGTGGCTATCAAAATGATATTTCAATAAATACATACAAAATTACAACCATTTATCATTTGAAAATAGGTTTAACAACCCTCACATGTTCTTAATAACATGCTTCAAAGTGTCTTGGGACATACTTCAAAGGTAACCACAAAACCAAATGGTGATGGTTTTATCGATCAATTAATAACCATATTTTTGGCCCAATATATTCCAATAACAAAATATTGTTTGTTAGCCATTCTATCACAGTCAACATTTAATATGATCCACAAATCCAAAAGGGATTTTGAACAACAAAAGTCATGGTATAGTGTGACCATGAAAATTCATACTTTTTAACACTCTAAAAAATGTCAAATTTTTTGAATTCATGAATAATGGCTTATTCATTATTTTTGACCATGTTTGGTTTGAAAATATGACTTTTGCCGAATTGATTTTCATAATTCTTTGGCAAAGTAGGTTGTTTTTCTATGTTAGCCATTAATGGCTTATGAAAATCTTCCATAGGTATATTATTTCCATGACTTGACTCTCTACAAATTGGTTTTTGGACCCCCCGAGGCATGCACGGAACATCATTCTTCGCCAAATTTGGCTCAAGAACATACTCTTTCATTATGTTAATTTCATAATTTGGATCTTTAAAAATGGACTTTTGAACCCCCGAGCCATTGATGAAATCAACTCTTTGCTTTTGCTATTTTCAACCATGGAAAAATTCTAAAAAAAACTCACCAATTCCGGCCATTAAAGCCTTAGTTAAAGACTTGATAGTGAGAGTTGACAACTCATCATTCCATTAGCGAATTTCCATATCAAGTTGATGAATTTCTCTAATTAAATGGTGTCTTTTTTCTTCCACCAAATAATATTGTAAGGGATAAAAGTTTATTTCATCAAGAAAATGGATCTCTTCTTGAAGATCCAAAATTTTTTGTTTATGCCAATAGATTTTATCTAGGCTAATTGAAATGAACAAATCCAATTCATTTTTCATTTTTTACACTTGACATCCCACCGGGCGTGTCAAAAATTGTTGGCTTATTTTCCTACGAAGGAAAATACCATAAATACAAGCATGCCAGCAAGGATTGAAAAATCCTTATGGATTAAATTCAAGCCAATTATCAAGTAATTCTGTTGACGGTTCTTTTGTCTCAACAAAGAGGACTTCAAAATTGCCAAGTGTAGAGAAAAGAAAAATTAAAAGAAGAATGAGGGAGATGGAGAAAGATGATTGAATGAACAATCAAAATAATAATTACTTACCTCTACTCCTATGTTTCGACAAGGAAATGCATAAAATGTTTTGAAAAGGAAATGCTGAAAATAAATGTTTCGAAATATAAATCTATGTTAAACTACTCCTAAGATAAGGAAAATGACAAGAAGTATTGAAATCAATTGTCTTTTATTTGAATTCTGAACCTTTTACAATGTAGCCATGAATGGCTATTTATAGGCAAACATTTGTAAGAAAAAAAACTACCTAAAACTATCCACTCCTTCACCTCCTTCATTTCATACTCCATGATCTTCCATAATTTCTTTCAACATCCACTTCATGCTCCATGTTCTCCACTTTGTTCTCCATCATCTTTCCACATTTCATAACTTTTCATAACCTCCAAATGAGAAAGATGTCAAATTTCCTGTGATTATATAAATAATAAATAATAAAAAAATTGCAGATATATGATGCTAACATAAATAATTTGAAAAAAGCATAGCATCAACAAACAATAGGAAGGGGCAGAATTTTCATATAGGGGACGAATATATATATATATATATATCTAATCAAAATTTTTAGAAATAAAATACAAATTATAATATCAATTTCTACTAACGTGATCAAGTAACTAACTGATATCTGATTTTATTCTTTACAGATTATAGCTTATAATTAACACTAACTATAAAAATAAAAATAAAACTTCTTTTATCATATTTTGCCTTTTTTTTATTAATTTTGTATTTTGATTACATGTTTCATAGATATAGAGTGATAGTCAATTAAACTTTCTTTTAAAATCTAGAGAAGATGATTCTTAAAATTTGTAAAAGCAGAAAAATTTAGGAGCAAGTATCTATAATTTGTAAATAATTATAACTAATATTATTATAATAAATTGTGTTTTTGAATACGTACCCGCTTCTTCTAGGTCTAACTGGTATACAGGATCCCATTAAGTTGTTTGCGCATAGATCAGTACAATTTTTGATGATGCGGGTAATCAAGAAAAAGAATAGGGGAAGGCAGCCGATAACACAAACTGAAATTGCAAGGCTAGATGAATGTGCTAAGACAGCATATGTCCCCGTAACGAATGCCAACACCATTGCAACCGTAGCATAAATAATAAGATAAGCAGCTGTATATACTTGGTTCTCTAGCATATCCCGATTGTTAGCAACAGCCGCATAGAAGTGGATGAGCACTGCTGAAATGGATAATGACATGGCTATGGTATCTGTTACCATAAAAGCTTTGAAAGCTGCTTCTCTTGTTAGAATCGCCATGCCTTGGTTTGGGCCATCGTTGCCATTGTATCCACCAGGCATCGTGAAACCAGCAGTAAAGGCCACAGTTGCTACAAGTGTAGCCACTATCAAATGGTTTGCCCCTATTTGCCTCAGGTCTGTGGGTGTTACGCTTATTACATTCCTCATATAATCAGGCAGATTTGCTTGCTGTAAATAAAAAGTAAAATAAAATAGAACAAATAATAAATTATAGAAGGCAAATTTCATTTTACCATGTTACTTTTGCCCATGTGTGAATTATCCCATTCTCATTTGAAAATAATCACATAAATCCCTTGTAACGTTAAGTATTGTGTCTGATTTAATAACAAGTGTAAAACATGCATAGGCATAAGGGAGATTATAGGCTCATTTCAAATTTTAAAGGAATAAATTACATCTAAAATAAAGTATAGGAGTTAAGATGCATTTTGTCTCCCAAATAAATCATGAAAATATCCATAGTTCACACACCTAAATTACTTATATATAGAGGCTTTTTAATATTTCACTAAATCATTAATGAGACTAACAGTATACTTTGATTCACAAATATGGCTACACGGTTATTTCCTAAAGAGAAACGAGGAATCCCAATGTAGGTCAAATCACAATGTGATAAAGTAAAATTTCGCAATTATAAACACAAATAAATGGTAAAAGCTACCTGGTGTGTAAGATTAAATTTAATTGTTTAGTCATTATAGTGACTCGCATGATATGGCAATATTAATTATAGATTTAATAGGATTTATGTTCCATATCTTTAGTCACAAGTTTTATAGGTCAATAAGAAGAGTGGTTTCCAAGTTTCTTATTTTGATGGGCAAGTAGAGTTATGTTTGAACAAGGAAATTGGTCATTGCTTTGCCTATAAAATAACATTCAGAGTATCCACCAAAAAATTTTGAATTCATGTATTTTAAAGAGGGTTAAGAGAGAGAAATGATTTATTCATAAACCTAAAACTTAGCGTTTGTTTTCAATCATCTACTCAATCTCTAACATTTTCCGTAACAATGGATTTAGGTAAGTACAGCAGCAATGGATTCAGGTAAGTACAATTTTCCCTTTTTTTTTTTTTTTGAGAACAGGGAAACAAAAAATTGATAAAGCATCAAGCGTACAGAAATAAGATTCCAAAGGGTCATCTCAACCAAACAATAAAAGAAAAAACAACAAAAACAACAACAACAAAAATCCGCCAAAACAAAGCTACGATCCAAGGAAGACCACCAATTTTCTCAAAGATGTGGTTTGGAAAAACGCCCGCCGTCTCTGTCGACAACATCCCCGTCGCTGCTGCCCAACACCGCCGCCACTGTCACCAGAGAAGGGAGGGCACCCACAATGGTGTGGGAGAAGGGTGTAGAGACAAGAAAACCATTGTGGGTGTCAAAATATCAAAAATCTATGTCGAAATCAGAGAAAAAAATTCTCAAAACTCCTATTTCGGACATAAAAAGTCCAGATCTACAATTAAAAATGGTAGATTTATACTCTAGGAGTGTAGATCTACATTTTGAAAGTAGAAAGAGGATCGCCGAAACTTCACCGAATCTTTACCGAAACTTCACCGGAAATCACCTAGAGAGAGAGCCCTCTCTCTCTCTCTCTCTATGGACTCTTTCAGGTAAGTATAATTATTTACATGAAAATCATGAGAGTTATAGATCTTGGATTATGAATGTTGCTATATACATAATACCATAAAATTTATTTATATCGTGGACCATGTGGTTATCCCTTGAAAATTTAAAATAACGAGAAAGTCAAACGTTCGGGATTTGAGTCGATGGAGCGACTAGTATCCTTTCGTTGTGATATAACTTACTAACCCATTAATATCTTATATTTTTTTTAAGGAAATAAAAAAAATAAAGGGTTAAATTTATTTTATCCCCTTGTGGTTGGGGGTTAGAGCACTTTATCTCCCTATAGTTCAAATACTGTTAGAAAATCCTCATATGATTTTAGATTAAAGTGCTACCGTTGATTTTTCCATCCAAACTAACAGAATGTGTATTTCACACACTACTTTTGAGAGTGGATTTGATTTCCTGAAAAATTAAAGTGAAATTAATATAACAAAAAAAAAAATTATCCTAATTTTCTCTAAACCTAAAAAAACTTAAATTCTCAATAAATTTTCTCTCAAAATAAATTATAACTCAGCGAAAATGCACCACACAATATTTTAAGAACTCTTGAATATTATCCGAAATTTTTCACCACTTCAATGTATTTTCTTTTCTTCACAAAGCTTCTTTTGGGGTGTTATGGAAAATTAATAAAAAGTTGACTTTTTTACTTTTTAAACTTATTTTATCTTTTTGTGAATAAATTATGTGAGATGTAATGTGACCTAACTAAAATTAGTAAAAATGTAGAAACTGACTTTTTACCAGCTTTTCAAAAATAAAATAGCCATTAAAAAGGAAGTCTAGATAGGCTCCTTTTTCCTTTTATTTTTCTTCCTTTTGAATTCATTAGCCGTTTGGACTTGCGTTATTCTTGTTAAAGAGCAGTTCAAATCAATCAAAGGAATAAAATGAATAAGAAAAAACAATATATATATATATATATATAAGATTTGATGGTATTATAATCATTTTATATGTGGTCCAAAATCACATGGGCCTCTGATTATTTTTGAGCCATAAGGGGTAAAGAATTTTAGCCTGACATTCTGATGAGCTAAAATGAATTCAACCCAAAAATAAAAAATAAAAATGATTGTAAATGAAGTTTAACCCGTTCGTTCTGACCTCGAGGAGATCGTCCCAAGCTTGTTTGGCTGTTGTAGCATCCTCGATTTCTGGAAAGATCGAGTCTGAGACGCCTTGCTGGATGTGAGAAAGAGCTGCAGCATCCTTCTTTCGCTCCTCCCTGTTGGTCTCATCGTACCCATTCTCTACCGTATCCCACAAATCCATAGATAGCAACAGAGTTCTCATCTTCACACTCCAAAACTTGTAGTTGATACCGTCAAAAATTGGAATTGTTGCCATGTAGAGTTTTTTTTTTGGGGTGAATGCCATATAGAGTTAACTCTGTTAAGGATATTCAGTTCTTCACCTACAAACCATAAACTCTACTACTACCATATGGAATGGAAGCCTTTTGAGTAGGCCTATGTAAGCTGTTCCTTCATCATTAAAAAGTAAATAAATAAATAACAGCAAGAAAAATTGACTTTTGCAAGAAGGATGGATGTAGAGTTTTTAACGGCAAAAGAAGGGATGCCAGATCCCTATTTATGCAGATTTGGAATTCTCTCTTCATTGGATTCCTGCCATATGTTTGGGAAGTCAATTTTAGGCTTCTTTTTTTTTTTTTTTATTTGGGCTAAAATTTACAAAAGACAAAATAAATTAAAATAATTAATAAGACAAAAGTCATATCAAACAAATAATCATTTCATTTTTTTCTTATAAATATCACATCTAATATTACGAAATACTTTATGAAAATTCTCTATTCTTAAATTACAAATACAATAAAACACCACGCATAAATCAAAGAAAGATTTTGTAATTTGCTTATTTACAATCATTTTCATATATTTTAGCTTTTTTTTTTAACATATTTCAATCAAAAAATTAAAAAATCACTAGAAAAAAATTTCTTCGAAACAAAAATTATATTAGATTTCTACAATAAAAGAGGGTTTCATGCTTGTAACACCCCGAAAATAATACAATAATTTAACAGGAAAAACTAATACAAAATGACTTAAACAAAGTATTAAGCTTTCATTATTCAAAGTCCATTTACAAAAGGGGTACATGCATTACACATTCAAAAGTTTTACCTTGAATCAATAGCATGTGGCACCAAACTAAATGATCAACAAAATAAATGCCCTACGAGCTTATAACTTTCAAAGATGATGCTTGGTTACAACAAAACGACTTAGAAGCTCAATACAAATAAAGCCCTAAGTCTGTACAAAAGTAAATACAAAATAAATAAAAGTGAACTCTCAGCTCTACAATCCTCCCAAGCTATTGCCTTGGAGGAGACACATCACTGACACCTAAAAATAGTTTTCTCAAATAGGGTAAGCCAAAGTCCAGTAGAAACAATCTAGCACAATATATGAGCTTTAACAAGGTTATAAACATGATACACATGACCAATGCTTAAAGATAAAATCATTAACAACACTTTTTTTTAAACCGTATTATATCAACTATTATATCCCAATCCATTTTATATCAACTCGTTTCCTGTTATTTCATATCCCCCCAATTCATGAGTCATATCCATTGTTACCCAGACAACCCAACTGAGACTACAACCCAGTGGTTCTGTTACCACACAACCATTACATACAAACACAACAATTCGTCAATTTACAAAAATTTCGTCCACGGGAATCGACACCCATGTATACACAATGTATTCAGGACTTTCATCCTAGACGTATAGGCAAACTTAATTCAATGGAGTCCATTCACTTTACTCTCTCAAACATGGAGTACATCCCTTTTCTCTTCTCAAACATCATACATATACAATGTATTAAACACAATCATATTCAATGACAATCAATAAGAGATTAGTTTTAATTTACATAATCCTTATGCAATTTCTACAACAATCATAGCTATCCTCCACCGATAGCCCATAACAGAGATTTCTAAACAGATATACAATCCTCTCAACAGATAAATTATTCAAATTTCCATGGGTAGGACGTGATACACATCCAACTCCACCATTTTTGTAAACATTCATCTAATTTCATATTTTCATTTCCAATTTCATTATTTATGCAAAATAATTACTTGAACATTTTAGGGCAAAAACTTTCATTTTCCCTATCTTATGTCAATCACTAAAAATCAACCGTTTTAGAATAACCCAAGGTCATATCCATCCCCATAACCATTTTTAAGACATCCATTATAAAAACCCCTCTTTGGAATTGAGACCCCAAACCTTAGGTTTGTTAAAATTACTTCAAAACCCAATGCTTCTCACACATCAAGAAAATGACCAAGTTAAAAATCATAGAGAGTGTAGAGCGTCCCTACCTCAAGCTTAGATGACCAAAGCAACAATGGAGGAACTTCAAAGACGCCGAAATCAACTTCTACTCGGATCAAAACGAAACTCTAAAGACACTCTATCTTTTTAACAAAGACGCAGGGGTAGAGAAACCAGTGGATCTAGGTGAAAAGGTAGAGAGAATGTCAGTTTTAGAGAGAGAGAATCCCGATTTTGGGTTTTTGAAAAAAAAAAGAGATGAAAAAGTGATGTAAAACGAGATTGCTGCGAACTGATATACGCACAGTCCGCTCAAGCGCAAAAGTTGATGCTCGAGCATCAGACACAATAATTGTTCCGCTCGAGCGCAAGAAATATCTGCTCAAGCGTAGAATACACACATATAGTAGTTTTGCAGACAAAAGAACATCGCTCGAGTGCAAGAATGGCCACTCGAGCGCACACCCCGCTCGAGTGTATGAAACACTGCTCGAGCGTAGAATACACTCTCCCAATATTTTTACAGACCTGCAAAAGTACTAAGAGTTTGCAAAACTCGCTCGAGCTCAAGAAGTGCCGCTCGAGCGCAAAAGCAAAATTTTGAAAAACAATAGTTCGGAAAACGAACAACCAACATGTTCCAACCACAACCACAACAATCCCAAAGCCAAGTTTAGGGGGAAAAAGATAAGAAAGACATATTCAACAGTACGAAACCAAGAAACCCGCATCCAAATTATAAGAATGGTCGGCTCAACACCGGAATAGCTATAGTGCCTAATTGCTTTTTTAATCTGAAAATCAAATTAAATTTTTATAATGAAAACAAAAATTAAAAAAAGGATCACTAATGATGCATGGTACACTTGAAAGGTTTTAACAATTGTCATTTATTGGGAGTAGTTTCGCATATGTGCTTTTGACATGTGACATGATTTATTTAATTGACTACTTATACATACATATATATATATATATATATATAGAGAGAGAGAGAGAGAGAGAGGTAAATTACACCAACTTTTTTTGACGTTTAAAAAAAATTTAACTTTCAAAATTTTAATATAATTATATTAGGTTTTTTAAAATTTTAATTTACATAATACTTAACCTCATTTTTATTAAATATGAATAAAAATTATGCTATCACATCTCTTACATAGAAATGTATATTAGCTTTGTTTATTATTGCATCTTCATGCTATCCACGTTAGTCATGATCTCTTTAATCTTACTAAAAAGAAGGTTAGTGTAACTATGTAACATCTATGAGGAATTCTCAAAATCTCAAGGAATGTTATTGCAATTGTGTGCGTGATTTTCCGATCACACTGCCCAACTCAGTAAACAGCTAGAGAGTACAGGCAGAATAGATGACACCTGGTGGACCTGCAACAGAAAGAGAAGACTCCGGCGATGGTTCGTCCACCCGGGGGCACTCCGACGATCAAGTCAGTATATCTCTCAAAGATAATCAATAGGGCTAAACTCACTGTTCAGAATATAAATTGCGTACCTTAGACCCATGGGGGTGCCTCTCTTTTATAGCAAACTCAATCCTAGTCCCAATAGAAGCCTAGCTTCAATGGACTCTTACTCAGTGCTTATCCTGGACTCTCCAAGAGATAAAGATAAACTCCCTAAGAGCTTTATCCTTATCTATGCTAGAGTCCTTCCTTATTCTAGGACTCTTGTCCCTTATCCGCTTATCTCGGATTCCGATATCTTCAGAGATAATATCGGCCTTGCCGAGATAACCTCGGCGTCATAACCTGAACACGTGGCATCTCGGTTGACACATTGGCGTCACCTTGGCCACGTGTTGGTACTCAAAAAATATATCCCCACAACTGTCCCTAGGTTCTATTACCTCGGCATTAGGTGATGAAACCTATATCGGTACTTCCTATCAGTACATCGGCGTAAACCGAGATCATCATAGGCCGATATGTCTTCTTAAAGATCAAGAATCCCAAGGGCTTCTTCACGCGTATGAGCTGTTGTACATAACAACTTAACCATTTCTAGCTACGTACTTTTCTCTTACTGGATCGTGCTTGTGACGCGCTTCTAAATCGTCTCACGCATGCGTGCGCCGTTTGACGCTCTCGTTGTTTTAGGTGCATTAATTCTGTCTACCGCCGTTTTAGGTTTTTAACAAAACTTTTCCCCCTTTCGTCTTTTCACTTTACATCGTCTCTATTCAAACTCTTTCTCTCTCTTGCCTTCTCTAATCTTCCATTGTTCCAAGCTTTGAAGCTCTGCTGCCACCGCCGTTTCACCTCTTCTGGCGAGGCTCTTTTTCTGCTACTGCCGTTTGTTTGACTACGGCAATCTCAACATCGGCTTTTTCCCTCTGGTAAGTCATCGTTCCTTCTGGTTTTTAGTTCTTGTTACGCTCCAAGAATTTTTACTTTATTATTAGTCGCTATTGTTGTTTTACTTAAACATTTGATTTATGAATCATGCATCTGAATGTGTTTATTTCACGATTTTGCCCTTTGCCCATGTCTTGAATACTCGCACTGCTCACAATTTTTCTGTAATTTTGCAACTGTTCTTGATAGTTCATCTTTGTTCTTGATTCTGAAGCACATTCTTGCTTTTCTGTTTTCCAGATTTTTGCGCCTTCAAACTTCGTTTCCATAGATCTAGGTTTGGGATTTGCTTGTAGAACCCACGATTATTAGGAAAAATTAAAACTATTTCCACAACTTCTTACCCAGCACATGCTTTAGGTTTTTGCCGAGGTCCCAATAACCCTTTTAAAACACCTTTATTCTAAAATCCAGTTCCTCCTAGCTAGACCGATATCATGGGTATGTGGAAGCATAGGGTAGACACCCTGACAAAATTAGAATACTTTAGGCGAGAGCTTTCTATCCCTGCCAACGTCCATCTGAGGTTGGCTAGTGATGACGACTCCATAATGCCCACCACTGATTCTATGCCTTTCCATGTCGTAGCCTTTATTGAGTGTGGACTCCGGCTTCCACTCAACACCCTTTTTCGTGAAATACTTCATTACTATAAGTTAAACCCTATGCAGCTTGCCATCAACTCATATCGAGTTATTAATGGTATCATAGCCTTAGCCAAACAAGAAAACACTAGGATCACCTTAGCCGATATCCAATATTGTTACACCATGTGTGGCCTCAAAAAAGACACGGGCTACATTTACTACCTTAAGCCGAGGTCTACAGCGTATAAAATCGTAGCCGACCTCCCAGACTCCAACAAGG